ACCCAGCCCTCTCCCAGAAAAAAAAAAAAGAAATATCCTAGGAAATATTGAAAAGGCAGAATATTTCTCTGGATGTGGAAAGGAAGAAACATGTTTTAAAAGACGGAATAGCTGCACTGCAGCTTCCTGCCCATCCCCACTTTGTCAATGGGCCATTAAGAAGGCCAAGCTAGTCCACTTTACATAATAAAGAGTTCTCCCCTTCAGCTCCAGGGAGATGGGATTAAATCATGATAATATTGGCCCTTTACGCAACTGACCACATGGCATCTGAGAACTCAACCAAACCTGGATTCAAAACGCAGCCTAGAGTTGCCCCTGCATGGTGCCATGGGAATCTGACAACCAACCAGAATACAAGGTCAAGATCAAAGGCCAGAGGGGGCATAAAACCAGCGTCTCCCAGTCCTTCCTTCTCTTTTTCTCCACCAACATTGAAGCCTGTGATCACCTTTTCTGCTCAGGAACTCAAGCCAGGTGACCCTGTCCATCAATAAGCCATCTTTCCAAGCAGCCTCCATGTCTCCAGTGTCTTTTTCCCCACTTGGAGCAGAACCCAAAGGAAAACATTTCTTTCATCAATAGGTAATATGAGAGTGTTGTGAGAATTTAAAAATAAACCAGAAAAACAGGACCAACAGCTGGATTCCTTCGACATCACACAGGAGAACTGGAAAGATCCCGCAGGGGAAGAAATATTTGACATCACTGGAGGCTTGTTGTTTTTTTTTAAACCCAAGGAGAGATCTTCCCCCCCCCCCAAAAAAAGCTTACTTTAAAGTTCTCCAAACTTTGAATCACTTTGGAAAAACAAACCTGGTAAAATTAAGATATATATTTTTTAATCACCCTCTCAAAAATAAGCCCAAGGAATTGTCATTGTTTGGCCGCTTGGCGTGGCCCGACGACTCAGGGGGGAGAGGAAAAATCTTTTTAAACCTTTAAAATCTGTTCGATAAAAAATCGCAGCAGAGGAAACTACGCGGTTAGTCGATTCCCGCACGGGAAGTAAGTCTAATCTACAAGTTTGGCCGTGCAAGAAGAAACTCGTGTACGAGTTTCAAGGAGGCACAGTAGAAACTCGCATGCAATCGTTCCCACGCGCGAGTTTCCCCGCATGAAATCTCAAGGCACCGACTTCTGGGTGTGGTTTTAATTTAATTTTCCCTTTAATCGTCTAATTATAATGATATAATTATAATCTATGCACTAATTATGATCTAATTATGTAAATATAATTTATATACCTTAATTAGATTTCCCCTTAAGGGAGGGATATTGGGCAAAGTCTCCCTCGAAGCCGGCCGGCTCCAATTCCCACGCTTTTCCCCTCCTCGTTGCACGTAAGTTTCCGACCCGCCGGAGCTACTCCTTACTTAACCTCTTACTCCGCGTCAATCAACCTCGCGCTCCCAACTCGACTCGCGAACGATTGCAGCTGATCCAGGGAGAGAGAAAAGAGGGGCGTGGTTAGAACGTTGGCCCGGGAATTTTTCGTTCCATCGCAGCGCGTCGGAGCCAATCAGCGAAGGGGAGGGCTGGAACGCAGCCAATGAGGAAAGAGACGGGAAGGGAAGCGGACGGGGGAGCCGCGGGGCAGAGCGAAACTACGTGCTCCACGTGCGTTGGAAAGCGAGGCGTTTCTGGATAGGGGGAGGGAAAAGAAAGGGGTGGTGTTTATAATTAATAATTATTCGTAATAATTAGAAGCCCTGTAATATATTCCAGAGGGGGGAGAAGGAGGAAAGGAAGGAAGGAGGGGGGGAAACAGAGCTAGAATAAGTGCAGATGGAAAGGGGGGGGGGAGAAAAAGAAAGAGTGCCTCTGAGCATATGCAGAAGGTGGCCGACAGGGAATAGGACATAGAGGGCAAAGTTTACAGTTCGGATTTAAGGGGCAACCGCAGCTAGGGTGCCCAGCAATGGTCTAAAAAGCAGAGGTCTCCAAATTTGGCTATTGTTAAGGCTCGTGGGCTTCAACTCCCAGAATTCCACCAGCCAGCACGTTGGCAAGAAGGGAATGGAGTGTTCTGGGGAAGGGCGTGCTTTGACTGGCTGGCACAATAATCAGATCTTAAAAGTCAATTGGCCCTTCACTGTGCCACCTCTGCAAGTCTGTAATGACATCTGGAGCTCAGGATATCTGGAATCTGGGGTGGGAGGGGGGGAAGAGTTAGTGGCTATGGCAACCACCTCTCTATTTCTGGAAAGATTCTTGTTACCGTGGCAACGCCCCATGTGAAACTGATGCTGAAAGGGAGGGTACATCCTGATGGGTGCTGAGCCTCCCCCCCCCCCAACTTGGACATCATCCTTATTCAGAACTATTCGGATTACAGGTCGTCCTTGACCTACCACCAGTGGTGGGATTCAACTGGTGTAACAACGGTTGCGGGGATAAACCGCCTGGGAAAGCCAAGGGAGATCATCAAAACCATAAAAAAAAGCAAAAGTTAGAATATGTTGGACATGTGATGCAACACCCAGGAACATACGGCATCCTTCACTTCACCCTAAAAGGAAAGATTGAAGTCAAACAAGATCCAGGCAGAAGAAGAACATCAGGGCTTCAAAATTTAAGGGACTGGTTTGGACAAAATTCAGCGGCACTTTTTCGTGTGGCTGTGGATAAAAATAGGATCGCCAACATGATCGCCAATGTCCGATGATGGATATGGGAGGAGGGGGAAGAGGAGGAGGAGGAGAAGAAGAAGAAGAAGAAGAAGAAGGGATGGGGAACGAGGAAAATAAGAAAAAGAAGGAAGGGAAGAAGGAGGAGGAGGAGCAAGGAGAGAAGAGGGAGGGGGAAGAAGGAGGAGAATAAAAAGAAAGTGAAGAGGGAGGGGGAAGGAAAAGAAGAAAAGGAGAGAAGAGGGAGAGGGAGTAGAAGAAGAAAGGGGAGAAGAGGGAGGGAGAAAGAAAAGGGAGAGGAGGGAAAGGAGGAGAAGAAAGAGAAGAGGGATGGGGAAGGAGAAGAAGAAAAAGGGAGGGAAGAGGTAGGAAGAGGAGAATAAGAAAGGTGAGAAGAGGGAGGGGGAGTAGGAGTAGAATAAGAAAGGAAAAGAGGGAGGGGAAAGAAAAGAAGAGGGAAGGAGAGAAGAGGGAGGGGGAGGAGAAGAAAAAGAAGGGAGGGAAGAGGTAGGAGGAGCAAGGAGAGAAGAGAAGGGGAAGAAGGAGGAGAACAAAAAGAAAGTGGAGGGAGGGGGAAGAAAAAGAAGGGAGAAGGGGTTGTAGAAGAAGAAAGGGGAGAAGAGGGATGGGGAAGGAGGAGAAAAAGGAGGAGGAGGAGGGAAAAAAGAGGGAGGGGAAGGAAGAGAAGAAGAAAAAGAGGGAAGAGGGAGGAGGAGAATAAGAAAGGAGGAGGGAGGGGGACTAGAAAAGAAAGAGAAGAGGGAGCGGGAAATAAAAGGGAGAAAAGAGGGAAGGAGGAGAAAAAGGAGGAGGGAGAAAAGATGGAGGGGAAGGAGAAGAAGAAAAAGGGAGGGAAGAGGGGGGAGGAGGAGTAGAAGAAGAAAGGAGAGAAGAGGGATGGGGAAAGAGGAGAAAAAGGAGGAGGAGGAGGGAGAGAAGAGGGAGGGGGAAAGAGGAGAAGAAAAAGGGAGGGAAGAGGTAGGAGGAGGAGAAGCAAGGAGAGAAGAGGGAGGGGGAAGGAGGAGGAGAATAAAAGAAAGTGAAGAGGGAGGGGGAAGGAAAAGAAGAAGAAAAAGAAGGGAGGGAGGAGGAGAAGCAAGGAAAGAAGAGAGGTGGAAGGAGAAGGAGGAAGAGATAAGAAAAGAGGGTGGGGAAGGAAAAGAAGAAAAAGGGAGAGAAGAGGGAGAGGAGGAGGAGAAAAAGAAGGGAGGGAAGAGGGAAGGAAGAGGAGTAGAAGAATAAAAGAAGGCAGAAGAAGAAGAAGTTCTTACAATTTGGGTGGTGAAGAAGGATGTAAATTTTAATCCCATCGCTGGAGGTGAAAGTGTTTTGTTTTGTGACTAGGCTGGCCCAATCTTCCTTAATGGGCACACAAAATCTGTGGGGAGGCTATTAAGAAAGACTGGGGGCAGCTTTCTGCCTCTAAAAACACGTTTCTCCATTTCTCCTTTGGGGAAATAGAATATTCTGCCTCTTTTAATATTTCCCCAAAATATTTCATTCCCTAGAAGTGGGGAGCGCTGGGGCTTCCCACACCATCCCAGTATGGTTTTCCAAATCGCCCATTGGGAACACCACGTATTCCTGTGGTGAGCTGGAGCAGAAACGGATTTAACCGTGTAAAAATTGTATTCTGGAGCTCTGTCTTCTTTCTGGATCCAATCTTTCTGGCATCGTGTTTTTAAAAGATTCTGGCAGGTGCCAAGCTTAGATAGCAATAGCAATAGCAGTTAGACTTATATACCGCTTCATAGGGCTTTCAGCCCTCTCTAAGCGGTTTACAGAGTCTGCATATTGCCCCCAACAACAATCCGGGTCCTCATTTTACCCACCTCGGAAGGATGGAAGGCTGAGTCAACCCTGAGCCGGTGAGATTTGAACAGCCGAACTGCAGAACTGCAGTCAGCTGAAGTAGCCTGCAGTGCTGCATTTAACCACTGCGCCACCTCGGCTCTGAGCCAACTGAGTTTGTCCCCGCGCCACTTTCGGCATTTGCAACGGCCCGAATTCCCTCCATCAATTTTATTTCTCTGCAATATTCCCTTCCCTCCTCCTCCCGCCCTTCATTCTTAATTTTCCTTTATTTCTGTTTACATCAATTTCGCGGAGATTATTTAAAGGAAGGAACAGATAGCAAATAAATGCCAGAAGAAGAAGAAAAACTGCTTTGGGATAGCAAGTGCTATTTTAGCCGGGGTTTTATTGCTCGTTTAAATCACCGCCAATTGCCGAATATCTTTGAAACAATTGGATTTAATTTAAAACTTCCAAGGGACTTGTGCCTTTGTCATCCATTTGCAAGCTGAAACAATCGCGGGTAGCTCGTTTGTTTTCTTCCCAATTAGAAAGCGAGGTTGAGTGGAGAGAGGAACATAATTAAGGAACAAAACGAAATAATAAGCAAGAGAAGCAATTGGGATGATCTTGAATAACAGCTTTGCTAAGCAGAAGTGAGACGTTGGTTAAGTGGGTTTTGTTAAACAAATTTAAGCAAACTCCCTCTCTTCCCTCCCTTGATCTTACGACCTGCCATGCCCACGGTTGCTAAGTGAATCACTGCAGTTGATCAGTTAGTATGGTTGTTCAGTGAACCTGGTGGCTCAGTGGCCTAAGACGCTGAGCTTGTCAATCAGAAAGATCGGCAGTTTGGCAGTTCGAATCCCTAGCGCCGTACAACGGAGTGAGCTCCCGTTACTTGTCCCAGCTTCTGCCAAGCCGGCAGTTCGAAAGCACGTAAAAATGCAAGTAGAAAAATAGGAACCACCTTTGGTGGGAGGGTAACAGCGTTCCGTGCACTTTTGAGTCATGCCGGCCACATGACCACGGAGACGTCTTTGGACAGCGCTGGCTCTTTGGCTTTGAAACGGAGAGGAGCACCGCCCCCTAAAGTTGGGAACAATTCACACTTATGTGCGAGAGGATATTTACCTTTACCTGAGTGAAGCTGAAAGTCTAGGGATTCTCCGTCATCCATGTCATGGTTGTCCCAAAGATGCTTTTTCAGGAGGCAACTGGACTTTCTTGCTTTTATTATTATTTTTATTAAAAGTTTAAAAAGGTTTTACAAATATTTACCTCCCCTCCCGCACCCGGACCCACCTCCCCCCCAACCTCCCAGAGCAAATACAGGGTATAAATCTTTAACAACCATATTCTAAAATAAACTAACAGACTTTAGCATCATCCCTCACTTGTACTTTAACTTGCCTTTTGTTAAACTAACTCTAAACAACTTATATCATTCCTTGCTCATTCAGTCATAAGCTATCTGGAGTTTCTTAGTCCCGTATTTATTTTGAATGTAGTCAATCCATCTTCTCCATTCCAGCTTGTATTTCTCGTCTGAATGAGCCTTGAGATATGCTGATATTTTAGTCATCTCTGCTAAGTTTGTTATTTTTAATGTCCATTCTTGAATAGTAGGCAAATCTTCCTTCTTCCAGTACTGCGCCACCAGTCTTGCTGCCATTNTGAAGAAAAAGACACAGGACAAGGACTTTGGCTAGACAAGACCAAGCCTTAAGAACAAATGCAAACAAAGCCAGAATTGAGAAGACAGAAACAGATAGCAAGTGGTATATTTATAAAGATGTTGAAAAAAAGGTGGAGCACTTTAATTAGCTGCTGCAAGAAGATTGTGCAAACTACTACAAACAATGCTATGACCGAGTAGTAACAATGCTTTGGGACATCTGCAAGAAATACCATTTGCCTGCAAGCAAGAACTGGTGGGACCACAAAATAGTCAAAAGTAATAAAAAAATGAAAAAGCTAAAGTGAGTGCTCTGGGACTTCAGAATTCAAAAAGTCAGTCACTTACAACATAACAGACTTAACAATCGTTGAAAAGGGAAAAATGATAGTGGATGTTGCTCTAGTACCAAAAGACACAGAACAGAAGATTAAAAACTGGAGAAAATCACAAAATGCAAAGACTTGCAAATAGAAATAGAACAACGGTGGCAAAAGAAAACAAAGATACTACAAATAGTAATTAGGCACCTTGACTGCAATTCCAAAATATGTGGAGCACTACTTGAATACCGCTGGCATTGTCAAAACCACTGTCAGTCAATTGCAAAGGCAACTTTACTTGGAACATCTTACATTCTGTGACGATATCTTTTAATACCATCAAATATCATCTGCCTATCACAGTTCCCTGGTAAGGACTTAATAGTGGATAAACGTGCCAAATCCAGTCTAAACATCTGGCTGACTCTATGAACAATAATAATAATAATGCCACCTTTGTTCTCCTTGGAGACTGAGCATTGAAAACTAAAAGGATTCTTTCTACCAGTTTATTTTTCTTTTGAATTGCAATACATCCTTTCTCCTAATTACTTCTGACATTTATTTTAAGTGCTTTCAAGACATTTTACAGAATGTTTTCCCTTTTCAATTTCCTTTTATTTAGCTAGTTACTTCTATGTCCTTTAGCGCTTAAGTCATTAATATTTGTCTATTCTGAAAGTGTATTGCTTTTCCTTCTACTGTCTCTCTCGTATTTAACAAGTTTTGTCTCTGGTGGCAGAATATCTGAAAATTTCATGCCAAAATTAGAAGAGAGAAGCAATAGACAAAAGAGAGTTCTCCCAATAAAAAAAAATCCCTAATAATAATTAATACCCCAAATTGCTCATTAATTTCCAAGACATAGCACTCTCAAGATCTGCTTTTACCAGGCAGTTACTTTGATGTTAATGCTTGTGTATGTAACTTGTTTGCTAAAATAGTTTCCATCAAATTAATTAATATAAATGAATGATTACTAGAGTAATTTGCCTAATCTTCCAAGGCAGTCATGAAAAAGCAGATCAGAAAGGATGGAAGGCACCACCAATTTTGATTTTGTAATAGCCACAACAACAATGTGTATTGTAAACCTAAGGAAAACTCAGAAAACTTACAGATTTAACTGTGTGCAGGTTCCAAAGGGCGTAATTTTGTAAACTAGATGTTGGATTGTGAAGTTCTTCAAGAACTTTTAACTAGCTACATCTCTGTATCTGGCCTGGTTTCTATTTAACAGGACCTCTGTAAATCCGCTTCATGGGTCAATTTTACAGTATTGCATGAAAGGGCAATAATTCAAAATGGAAGGCAATCCCAATTTATGGCATTGAAGCACATTATTACTTATCTTTTGTTCTGGAATCAGAGTACCAATGAAAGGAGAATTCTGAAGAAGAGCTCTTCCTTGTCAGCTTGCCAGTTTGATGAACAAATCCCTCTGCAAATTGTCTCAAGGTCAAGAGGACAGAGAGGTTCTCAAAGTGACAATTCTCTGGAGGAGGAGGAACCATTTATCTTAATCAGGCCTAATCAGGAAATTCAGGACAAGCTAAACTAATTCCACTTTACAATGTCCTTTTTGAAGTGGTTCATCAGGAGAAGTAATTTAATTTTGAAGGATCAGGAGCTGGGCTACATAACAGTACGTATATCCTGAAGTATTTATTGAACTCAAGTTATTTAATGTGTTGTTCCTTTTCTTTCTCACTAACCTGCAAATCGCATAACATTTAAAAGTTTTATAAGCATACATCACAGCTTTACTTCTAAACAAGATTTGTATGCTGCATATTGTGCCTCATGCACACATGCACACATGTTCATGCCCTCAGAAATATGCGCTGAGGGGAAGCAAAGAAATAGGATGCTACAAGCTTATCCAGTGGTCTAGTTTTTCTCATTTCACATAGTTGATTACTCATAATTTATTATATCACACGTTCACTCTGTGAGGCCTACAGACAAACAATACATACGCTTTTGGAGTTCCAGAATTTGTTTTACATACAGAAAGCCCTCTTTCNAACTGCAGCTAACAGTCAGCTGAAGTGGCCTGCAGTACTGCACCCTAACCACTGCGCCACCTTGGCTCAAAATTCAATCTCTTTAGGGAAGGGGCAGATTTTGCTAGTTGTCTTGCCTTTTGCCAAGGTGAAGGCAGAAGACCCCCAAAAGTTTAAAATAAGAGGCTGGCTGCAGAAGAGGGTGGAAATGAATTTCCGACACAGGTAAGTTCTCGACTTACAAATAATTCATTTATCGACCACTTGGCGCGATGACAATTAAGGTGGACTGTGACCAACGCCTTCAATCCTCATCGCGCCATTCTTAAAGTCTGCTATGGGACTGCTAATAATTTACCAAAATTATTGTCCGATTCCAGGAGATGGAATCTCCAGCCATTATAATCTCCCAAATACCTGCTCTTCTGAATCGAGGGCGTTCTCTCTAAATAGAGAGAAGAGACCAAGGTTGGTCCCAACACAGCTGACAGCTGTCAATAAGAGCTTAAGCAATCCGTCATTCCTTGAACAGGCCCTATCATCTAACAGGTGGTCAAAAATTCAGGGCATGAAATCCCGCGCTGGGAATCAAAGCAAACGGCAACTTCCCATCCCCGCGATGCCAAGGATGCTCCTACCTTAAAGGATGGTAACCGGATGGCCCCTCGCAGCCCGATGCCCAAGCCGATCCCTTCGTAGCCCAACCCTTCTCCTTTATTCCAGTTCTCCAGAAGGCAGGAGGTGATGCGGTCCTTTGGTTTCGGTTTCTCCTCGTCTTTATGGTCCCCAGATTTAACCGGGGTCAAAGATGCCTGAGAAAGACAGGCGAGATCTCACATTGGGGGCGCCAAAGGAGCCTTCTCTATTCTACTCCTTTTCTATACTCTCGTATATCTCGTATATGACCACCCAGATGAGGTCAGCGGACCTGTCTCCATGAAGATGTCTCCAGAGGTTTCTTGATTACATTTCACGGGAGAAATTCATCAGGAATAAACTCCGGGCAGCATAATCTGCACATCAAGCTAAGAGCGCTTCAAACATTCCCAAATTAACCGCTGGATCTTCAAACTTGATCTGATCTTACATTAATGGACTGAAAACAGGGTGAGTTTTTGTTCCCCAGATCCCAGTTTAAAGCTGTACGTTGCCAGGATCTGGAATGTTAGTTTTGATCACCCGCAGCAGGAATCTTATCCGAACCCAACGCTATTAAATCATGGGTTCAAGATTGCATTCATGTCTGAAAACAGGCTGATGTTTTATGGTTATTCAAATACATAACATGTCGAATCGTGCCGCAGGAGACAAGGAGGTAGACAATCTAGGCCACTGTTTTTCAACCTTGACCACGTTCAAGATCAACCTTGACCACTTTCAAGAAGTATGGGCTTCAACTCCCAGAATTCCCCAGTCAGCCACTACGTCTTAAGTCCATACGTCGTAACGTCACAGGTTGAGAAATGCTGGTCTAGAACACGGCTCTCCACAAACGTGGCAGCTTTAAGACTTACGGACTTCAACTCCCAGGATTCCCCAGTCAGCCACTACGTCTTAAGTCCATACGTCGTAACGTCACAGGTTGAGAAATGCTGGTCTAGAACACAGCTCTCCACAAACGTGGCAGCTTTAAGACCTACGGACTTCAACTCCCAGGATTCCCCGGCCAGCAAGAGGAATTCTGGGAGCTGAAGTCCACAAGTTTGGAGACCCCCTGCTCTAAAAGAAAATCAAGGCTAATTAATTTCACCCACAGGACGGTGGGAGAAGCTTCGTACCTTAGCAAGACGTTCTTTTTTGTCCCACCAATCGTCAAACGCCCGGAACGCCACCACTTCCACCATCTTCTTGTTCAAATCCCTTTTCATTATTGCTTTGAGCTCCTTCACGATCACCAAGAGGACGCCGTCCACCGTGGCCTTGTGCGGATCTTCCTTCTTGGGCTCGTAACCCGGAGGGGGGACGGAGGGGTCGAACCTGGGCAAAGGGGGCCACTGCTGCCCCCGGTTCATAGCTGCCCCCATGGAGAAATGCCGGTAGGGAGGGAGGTTCACAAACTGCATCCGGTTACTCACGAAGGGGGGGTACTGGTAGGTGTTCTGCCCTTGCATCAGGCGGCTGAGCATCTGGGTTTGCATCTGGAAAGACATGGACAGGCCCCCCCACTGGTTGCCCAGGACGCTGATCATGTCCATCTGCATCAGAGGAAACATCCCCGGATGGAAGGGAGGGAGAGGGGGCAGGATGTGAGGGGGAGGGACCCCCGGAGGGGTCGGGAGGGGCGGAGGGGGGACGGTGACAGCGGGGTGGGTGGGCGGAGGCGGGGGAGGAAGAGGAGGAGGCATCGGGAAGACCGACTGGGGAGGCGGAGGAGGGGGTAGGGGAGGGAAGCCCGGCGGAGGCATCGGGATGGAAGAGGTCATCACGGAGCTGCCGCCAATGGAGGTGTTCACCACAATGTTCTTGGCACATTCCGCGCTGGGCGATTCGCTCATCTCGTCGTCCGAGATCTCCATGTCTTCCCCCGAAGATTGATGACACTGGGAGGGAGGGAAGAAGTAAGGAAAACCCACCTTAAACCAGATCAGGGAATAGTTAACGAAGAGAGAGGGTCTTTGAAGCTTTGAAGCCAAAGTGGTCTTCATATCACTCTAAATACATAAATAATTGACTCCCAACGAAGGCACACCTTGGCCCGCTTCGTGACCCGTCAAAACCGCGGTCCACAAAAGCGCGATCGACGAAAGCGCGCATTTGACGTCATCACAGCGCGACGAAA